GGGCCTATGCAGTAAAATAATTACTTATTTGAGAAACATAACAATTATAAAATTTAGTCAATTGTAATGCCATTATAGGAAGCTTTGAGCTTCTCATTATACGAAATTTTGTGGAATTCACATATTTTAATTTATTAACACACATTAATTTTAGCATTACCCATTAGAATTTATTTAAAGCATTTTTTCTTCCTTCATGATAAAACGTTAAATATTGATTATATAGTATTATATTAATATGATCTGTGATTGTTTATATTTTTGTGATTTTTCTCTTTTCATGAGGTTCTAACCGGGTCGAAAAATAAACATTTCGATTGAACTGATTTCATGTTGAAACAAAAGTTATTGCGTAGGGGGTGGAAAAATATGACCAAATTATTTATATTTTTTAAAGGAGCCGCTGGGCTACCACTGAGTAATGAACGTACATAAATACATACAAACTCGCTTTTATACTAAGAGTTCGATTAAGTACTTATCATACACATGTTCGGGTTTTTTTCCACTTGCGTATTTTATTATTGGTTAGATTTTCCACATACATTACTTATACAATTTCAAACTAGTCATTTGTTTTTTAGATTGGTATACTGTATACCAATATTTGTGAAAAATTATATAGGAAAATCAGAAAATGATTTACATATTTGTATAAGATGCCATAAGGCATCTGTACAGGAATAGTATTATATAATTTACGGTGTAGACGGCTTGTCTATTCGATTCTCGCTAGAAAATGCACATTTCCAAACAAAATAAAACACAAAAAATATTTAATGTATTTTTTAATGAAATCCGATTTTATATTACATTTTTATAATAAATTACAATTAACTCAGACTGTTTTATATTTAATCTTAACAGTCGTTTAATCATTAATTACAGACATCCAGTTATACGCTCAAACATACGTACATACTGATTACAGTAGTATATAGAAGGTATATCGGCTTCAAAATCACTAACCATAAGTTTGGATCGACAAATTATGACATTTGCGCTTTTTATTCATTGAACAGAACATAATTATTAAAAAAAAAGTATTTAAAAAAATCATCACATATATTTGATCGAGTTCAAGGACATAAGAAGTTGTTTCACCCTTACTGTTAAGGGGTCGTCCATTAATCACGTGATGTTTTTTAGCAATTTTTTAAGGCCCACCTCCCCGCTGGTGATATGTGGTAGGTTTGACTAACCTTCCAACTTTAGTACAAAGTATTAAAAAAATCAGAATATTACTTTAATGAAACACAGGTATAATCTAATTTAATTCTGGAAAATTATGCACAGTGATATAAATGTCCAGACAGACATTAGAGTTGCAGGACCTGAAGCAAATATTAGCTCTCTCGTACATGTTCGCTATACCACTGTGGAGAAGGCAGGTCTGGAATAAAGCTTTCAAGTTTCAGTACTGTCATCGAACTCAACATACTCTGCTACGACGTCGTGGCCGTCGATAACTATAAAATTCCACACTTCTGTGTGAACTTCCAGCCTTCTGAATTCAACGAAAGAACGACGAAGTTCAACGAAAAAATAAATACACGTCATATCTCACTACACCCCCCTCTCCCATTGTGATGTTTCGTGATTTTTCCGAAATCCCCGCTTTCGAGCCTCACGTGATTAATGGACGATCCCTAAGGGATCAATGATTGATAACATTCATGAAAATGGGTGAAGCTATCATGTAAAGTCAAACATAAAATACATTCAGTATTGGACCTCGCACTATTTTGACCGATTTGCCATTAAATAACATTTTTTTTCCAATAGAAACATAGAAGATATATAAAAAACAACAATTTCTTTTGCTAGCTTTTATAATAGTAAAATCTTACTATTCTCCAGTCAATTGATAAAAATCGCATTATGTCATAATTTTACAAGATAAGGGTATTTCATATAAATTTGGCATGTTTTTAAGTAACGTAATGTAGAGTTAGAATTAAACGATACTCGTTATAAGTAGTCTTTAGTATCTAAGATAATTAAATCCTAAAATTGAAGGTAATCTAAGTAGATGAAATCGTTTATCAATAAAAATCAAAAGATATAATAAAAAAATATTTGGCAAAAAGCGTATGTACTTAAAAACTTTTTGGCCTCAGTTTGGCATGTTTGTTATTAAAAAAAAGTTAAAATATGTTATATTAATAAATTATCTGACTAGAAAAAATCACAGATTAAAAAAAATCAAAATATAAATATTTCGAATGCGAAACAAAATCACAAGCCTTATTTATTATGAGCAATAAAATTATATCACAATAAAAATGGAAATATAAAATGTGACAGACATTAAATATTAATAATCACAACTTAAACGCATGCAAAATTGCGTTTATCGACCCCATTTTTTTTAAATAAACACTCAAAACATCATAGAACACAACATAAAAGTCTTGGTCCAATTCCAGAAATTAGTAATTTTTTTTATGTTCATAAATTGTTACTTTACCTACATATTTTTAAAACGAAAGAAAAACCGTAGTACCGTCTACAAAAATAGATTTATTAAATTTTTGCTTTTATTAAATTTATACAAAGCAAAATAAAAAAAATGTAAATATATTTCAGGTAAAACAGTACCTCTGAAGGTACATAATAAAGTTGTGCTATTCGCCCTGTAAAAGTTTTATAAAGAACTAAAAAATATTTCAGTTGGTAACTTGCTAGAAATATTAAAATAATAATAATATAACTTAACACAATATTAATAATACTACAGAAATTTAATTTCTTAAACACATTGTTTATGGCTAATTATTGGCAAACATCAGGTATTAGTTCTCCATTTATTTTAAAACTCAACAAATTAAAAAACAAATACACGGTTTTATTCACATGATCAGATTTTTATATAAATAAATTTTATTTTTGGCTAAAACAAGCCCCTAATAATAGGTTTAAAAAGTTAAAAATAATGCTTTAAGCAATAAAATCGGTTTTAAAAATCATTTCTGGTTTCACCATAAATAATAATAATATATACGTATTTTTAATTAAAAAAATTAAATTTTCAACTTTTTAGATACATTAAATTCGTATTTAAAACAATTTTCAGTGTCAATCACATATCATATCTTATTTGGGTAAAATATTTAGCTGTTTAAGAACTTCAATAGCAAGAAGACTTTCAAAGCCTTTAATAATTGATTATTATAATATTTGTGCAGCGTTCTTATAAAAACTTTATGAAAAACCATAAATTAAAAATTATTAAATTTCATAATTTTAACAACATTAACAACAGTGTTGCCATAATGGTAATTTTGGTACACTAATTATTTAGTGTTAAGCCTCTAGAAGTTTTTAGGAATTATTTTCACAATTTTGTTTTATAAATAAATAACTTATAAAAAAATATTTTTAGTATTCAAAACAAAGTGAAAAATGCGATATTTTGCTCCTTATGTCTTTCAAATCATTTCATAAAAAATGTTTAAACATGCAGGTACATAAATAAACCTGACTTAAAGTATTTAAAAATCACATGCGCATTTCTCAAACATACAATTATTTATAAACCTAAATTTACTTAATCGATGTTGCCTTTAAAAATAATATAATTCAAAAATTTTAAACTTTGGGCGTTTATGGAGAAAAAATTCAAATTGTGGCACATTTTGGAAGTCAAAATTTACAGATGGCAAGACTATATTTGGAAGATTACTTAACATTGTATCCAAGGATTTTCAATTTTTTTTTTACTAAAAATTAAATTAACTAGAAAATAGTATTTTGGCACTCAATAATACTAATTGTTCTTTTCAGTACCTAGACATATTTTTGGCAATTTTATATACATCATATACAAAATATATATAAAAAAATGAGCGCGTGTAAACCTTTACGCGCGGTTGAAGTAAAACTTCTTTGATGCTGTTACGCAGATAACGCAATTTATTTAAAACAAATTAAAATATAAATATAATATTATTACTATTAGTATATTTTATAAAATTATTAGTAATAAATATTCATTTTTATAAATAATAATTATTATACAATTATTAATAATAATTATTAATATATATATATATATATATATATATATATATATATATATATATATATATATATATATATATATTTATTTGACTCTCACGTCCGTGACATTCATTTTTCAATGTATTGACATACTCCTTGTCACACCCAAAGAAGTTTTACTTCATACATAATATTATTGTAACTGACATTTCATAAATAACAGATAAAATAATCAAATATCGATATAAAGATCATGGTTTTAGATTATAATTTAGCGAGATCGATTTTTGTGTCATTATAATTAAAAAAAAAACACATGGAGACAATAAATGCTAAAAATAATACTGCATAATTTACAAATAGTAGTTTCCGTAATATACCGAGCATTATGAACAAAAACTTCTTAATCATTTAGGGTGTCTCACACGCGTGTACCTTTAAATAAAAAAAGAGGAGGAGCTACCGATTTGGGTAAAACTTTCGCGTGAGATAACCCTAAATTCGCGAAGCCTCTATATTACAATATCTACAAACGCCAAGCTTAATGAAGTTAGAATAAAAAAGCGTCTACCCGCCTAAGTGTAAAAGCTAAATCGAATCGAGATTACGCAAAATGTCGTACTATTCGTTGAATAGAGTCGAATCAAATCGAATATTTTAGGTAAGACTAAAAAAATATTAATTTTAAGCTTTTTTTAAACAATTATATATTTCACTTCAAGTACTTTGTACTGTCTATACCAAATAAAAAAAAATCTACTCGATTTTAATAAACCGATACCAAAATCGATTCGAGAATATTCCTCAAATATAACAAACACAAAATTAACAAATATATTTCACAAAACATAATGTGTGACATATTTTTTTTTTAACATATATCAACCAATAAAGTAGAATATCAACCCAAAATTCGAGATACGACGCCATTTAACGTACGATTTAAGTCTTTTATATTAATTGGCCCTTTTTATACTAACCTATTTAAACTTTAGCTAAATACTCGCACGGTGCGAGGGTAGGTTGAAAGTTAGGGTATCGTTCACGAAAAACTGCTCTTGTTCCTCTTCATCTGGCAAATAATATCCATAACTACCGTCATTCGAAGTTTGATCGTTAATCGAGTTTTTAAAATCGCACGTAAATTCCTCCCAGTTCTGATTAATCGATTTTCTTCTCTTCGCAAATAAAATCGATCCATCGAAAGCGTATTCGTCGTCAAAATGCAGCACTGCGTCATCGTAGAAATAGTTTTCGACGCGTTTATTGTTCGTGTTTCTCGCTATGTTCTTCATTAACTTCTTTTTCGCATAACTCGATTTCTCGGAATCGTAATCGTCTACGAGTGGATCGTTGCTACGATTTTCGGTCCGAATATTCATAGAATATAATGAACTGTGGGGACTTTCCCTGTTAAAGCTATATGGATTTAAGAATTGATCGTGAGACAATTCGCAACTGGTCATCCCTTTACGCAGTTGTTCGCGTCTTTTTGCGACGATTTCGCGAAAATCATCCGGATCTAGTTGAAATTCGTTGGTTTTCGCGTTCATATACAAGTATCCTGAAGCAGAGTTTAGTCTAATGGACTGCGATCGATTTTTCGTTGATGATTTCTCTCTGTAACGCGGTATATTGCCTAATTCCCGGTAAGCAGGTATCTTAGCTCTGATTTGTTTGATGTTGGTGGGCGGCACTGGCGATAGTGGATCGCGGTAAGGTATCGATCTGAAATGTAAAAATTGCAAAAAAATATTTACCAATTCTACAGCTAACCTGTTAATACTTATTATCCTATTCCGGACTAAGAGATATCCAAAAAACCAAATATCATAAAAATTAGTTACACCATTTATAACTCAAGAACGAGTTATAAATGGTGTAACTAACACGACTTGGTTTTAAATACATATTTACCTTATTTTATATTTTATCTCTTTATTAAAACTTTCCGTGTACCTTAAGGAACATACGAAAAAAAATTTAGCTGAATTGGTCGAGTCGTTCTCGAGTTTTGCGCTTAGCAACGTTAATTTTTATTTATGTAGAAGATTTAGTTTGTATCAGTTTTAATAAAACTCACTTATTTGGTCCAAAGCAGCTGCAAGAACAACTACACACGCTGGGAGGATAGTCCTCGTCTACGTATAAAGGAACCATCGATGTATCACCTGAAAACAAAACAGTTCGTTTTAAAATGTTAATTTCAGAGTAACATTTATAAAGAACATATGTAACTCATAAATGAACCTTCTTGTAATTTAAGCTATAAAGAAGCAACGATTTGAGTTTATATCCGATAAGAAATTTAAAAGAAAATCTCTCAAAAGTTATGCAGTCTGTAGTAGCTACAATTTTTGAGCTGACTAGCAGCTCACACTCGCTTCGCTCGGGTTCATCCCTAGGTATGTTTTAATCGTGTATCAACGTATTCATAACACAAGCCTCAATGGAACTAGATGGCGCTGTGTGTTAATGTCTCAATATATTTATATATTTAAAGATAGATACAAGAGAAACTAATAAAACGTGTTAAAAAGACACTAACCGGGACGCACGAGGCGCGCGGGCGCGGGCAGGCGCGTGCCGCGCGCCACGCCGCGCAGCACGGCGCCGTCCGCCGTGATCACGTCGCCCTCCAGCCGCACCGCCACTTGCTGCGCCTGACATATACACATATATGTAAAATAGCGACTCACAGTTCCTTCCTAGTTATGTTTTAACCTTTAGTATAGATTTCTCAGAGATAAGATATTTTCCCGCAGTAAAATGTATCCTATATGTTGACCCGGATAACCAGCTATCATCATACTAAATTTCATCAAAATCCCTCCAGTGATTTTTCCGTGATGCGTGAAAATTCTAAAAGCTATAAAATTCAACCTCTGTATCGATAATTATGACTATTTCAAGAAGATTTTCCAAAAAAATATTTAATGTACTATTTCGACTCAGTTACAATTTTATTTTATGTACATACACGACACGTGTTTTATATCGATAAAAATAAACATAATTTATTTGTGTTTAATTATAATATACGGTGATGATTGTTATCAAATACAGCGAATATCTTAAAAAACATTGATTGATCATGAATATAAGTAATAAAAGTTATAGTCCCCTAATAATCGTGACAAAAGTACCATGCGGTCATGAGTGTAATAAGGAATATATGTTATAAGATATTCGTCTGCACTCTATACAGGCCTTTCTTTGATGAAATTTAACAGTACAATGTACGTTGCTTGATATATATGTTAGAATACAATTTTTAAGACCTAATTTATGAGCCAACGGGAGAAGGCGAAAAGAGCATCGTTCCTACCGTGTGTCTAATGACACCTCTTGAATTTTTTTTATAATAATATATAAATAAATTTTACCCGAATCCATCGATGTACACACACACACAAACATACAAACTTTCTCATTTATAATATTAATAAATGATAATATCACTAGCAAATTTTAAACGCATACCTGTTCCGCCTGCTGTTGATCTCGTTTCTCGTCCTCAGTATTCATAGTGACGAACCGAAGTACTAGCAAGTTGAGACAGGCGGCCACAATCGCAAGGCCGAATAGGATGAATATCAGAGCAAACATCACGTACGAAGGCTTTCTGTTTAACGCGTTGTCTTTCTGTAACGCTACCATATCTCCGAAACCTGAGGACAATGTGTATTTGAAATTAAAATAATAGATTAAATAACTTTACTAGGATATTAGCTTTTATTGGAATATTAAAAAAATATATTACGCCACCGCAGCTACAGATTTGGCGGGTTTTAAGTTCCGATAATCTACAGCTGTGGCGTTAATACGTAAGTACCCTTCACTGCTTATCATTAAACAAAGTCAACCAACACATTTGTCTGTCTGTCTGAACGTGATAAGCTCAAAATCTACCAAACGGATTTTCGTACGATTTTCAACAATGAACGAAATTCACGAGGAACATTTAGATGTATCATTCATTAAAGTTTTGTGTAAATTGAAGATGATTGTTGAAAATGTCGGAAAAAATCATGCCGACTGGGAGTTACCACGGAAAAATGTACGGTTTCCGTGGGATAGGTTTGTTTTTGTTTTCCTAGAGGTGAAGCCGAGCGAAGCGAGGATGAGCCGCTAGTTTATTATAATTACGCTAGTTACAAGTCAACCGTAGAAGTATTTACTTAAACCTTTAGATATCTGTATCCTTCATTTCCATTACAATAAAATCATTACAATTGGTTCATAATAAACCAAGAACAATAATTCTTTTATTTAAAGTCCATTGAAAAGCTTCTATATATATATATACATAAAATATTGGAAATATTTTAATTTATTAATGAAAAATGTTTGCTACAGATATTGAATATTTACAAATTATTTTATAGCGAATGCCTTAATCATTATAGAAAAAAAATATGACATTAATTTTATTGCATTATTAAAAAAAACACTCACCTATAGTAGTCAAAGTGATAAAACAATAGTAAACACTATCGAAATAGCTCCATCCCTCGAACTTTGAGAAGGCGGCGGCGCCCCCCGCTATAGTCAGCGACGAGAGTGTCGTCACTACACATATTAGGTCCACTTCTGACGCATGCGTTTGCTTGCAATTCATTGCGCGTTTTATCGACTTTATTATTACGCTAAAAAATAAAAAAAAAATGACAAAGGCTCAATATAAAATTAAATTATAGTTTATTATAATGGACTTATCAATTTTTGAAAAACTTCAAAGAGTATGTGTGCAGCCCTTTTCAACGTCCTACTGCTGGGCACGGGCCTCTCTTCAATACAAGGGGGATCAGGCCATAGTCCACCACGCTGGCCAAGTGCGGGTTGGCGAACTTCACATGTCTTTCGAAAACTTGCTAGGTTCTCTCAGACAAGCAGGTTTCCTCACGATGTTTTTTTTCACCGCAAGAGAAGTGGTAATCATGTTGGAATTGATTGAACTCGGCTTTGCTCGTTTTCCCATGCGAGGGCTTTACCACTGGGCTACCACTGCCTAGGATAACAATAATACACCAAAGTAAGATATTTACCTGCTCAATCTATTAACACGTTCACCGATACTCTGGAACATGATCAGTCCGAGGGGAATACCCACAATCGCGTAGAACATCGTAAACAGCTTCCCACCAATAGTCGCAGGAGTTGAATGGCCATAGCCTGTAATAATATTTTTTATTACTAACACATATCTAATTGTTTAATAAATTATAAAATCACTAGCAACTCATCCTCGCTCGGGTTTGACTATATTTAGTTACGTTTTAACGTTTAGTATAGACGGTATTACTTGCCAAATTTGATAGTTCTAGGTCAACGGAAAATACCCTATAAATTTTGATTCCCTTGAGTGTCGAAATATACGTTCTTTGCGGCATAAAAGGCCGTGTCTTATATTATCCGTATTTATTACGTTAATATAGAAGTTTGATTTTTTCACAATTTCAAGATACTGTAGACCTGACTGAATACATCGTTTTAATTTCAATTCGATACCTCCACGCGTTCCCGAGATAAATGATCTTGACAGACAGACGGACGGACGGACAACAAAGTGATCCTATAAGGGTTCCGTTTTTTTCCTTTTGAGGTACGGAACCCTAAAATGAGCTATTGATTTACATTAATTTAAAAATTTAATGTAAAAAGGCTTATTATGACACTTTTATGTCAGACAAAAAAAATTGTTAAGAAATGCAAGAAGTGCAAAAATATAGTTTTTATAAAACAAATATATCTTTGTCTATTTTTTGATTTTTTTTCCAAAAAATACTATTTTTTTTTTGAAGTGTACTATATTTTTATAACTTATTTTGAAAAATACTATATTTCGCAAAATAAGAATGGCACGTTATATTATATAACTTAAAAAGATAGATAGATGTACACGTGATGTCTTTAAAAATAACATAGATGTTACCCTATTGGTATGTTAGTTAAAAACCCATGTTAACCGAGTTATATTATTCTAAGGTCATAAACATTGTATGCAAGTTGTATCATTGCACTCTCTTACTTTAGAAAGAAGGAGTGGAAAAATGTGCAAAAAATAGAGGCATTGGAGCTTGCTAAATACCTAAAATGAAAATTTATTTACAGAATATACCTAAGTTTAATATCTTTTAAAATCCTGGATATTATGAGTTACGATCGCTAAAACTCTGTATTCCATATATCTTTAAGAAATACTATGAAACACGAAATTATTTTTGCAAATAATAAAGTATGTATTGCGAAAAAGTTTTTTAAATCGTAGTGTGGTCGCGGTCGAAGCCACGGGTTCTGCTAGTGTATAGATAAACTTAAAAAAATGCTCAACCAGAATAGAAGGTCATCATCATCTCCCTACCCATTTCCTAATCACGTGGGGTCGCCGCAGTACATCTTCCGTACTGCCGATAGGATTTGGCAAAAGTTTTACAACCGGCTCTAGCCTGCCTGACGTCAACCCTCCTTGGGAATGCTATTGCTTATCGCGGACGTCTTGTAATATGCACATTCGATGTTTTCTTTTAAACATCTTTTATAGTATTACTCTAAGTTTTAATGTAGTTTTCTGATATATTTTGAAATAAATTTTGAACATACAATAAATTTTGTTTTGACATACTAGAATAGAAGATACTGGAAAAAGTTACTAATAGCTAGCCATGCCTGATTGAAACCAAAAAGGTCTACACTTTTCTCTATCTATATCTATACAGATAAATAAAATTGAAGTGTCTGTTTGTAATATTAAAATAACAGAATTTACTAAATGCATATGCAATTATTTACGGTACTTATATACGAAAACACAATTTTCTAATGTTTTGTCTGTCTATCTGTTTGTTCCGGCTAATCTCCAAAACGGCTGGACTGATTTTTACGGGCCTTTGCTGGCAGATATCTGATGTTATAAGGAGTAACTTAGGCTACTTTAATTTTAGAAAAAGAATTAGGGATGCGCTCAAAAAAATTAAGTCATACCTAGGGACGCACCCGAGCGAAGTAGGGTAGGTTGCTAGTGTTAAAATATATCAAGCTTATTTAGACTACAGTGTGTGGCAGTCAAATAAAAATAGAAGTTTTATATCCACCAGTCAAGATTGTACCCCCTTTCTACACGTTCCATTATAAAATGGGGATTACTTAATACTTTCTTAGTTTTCGCGAATATTTGAACTCTACACTACTATATAAAAAGGAAAGATTTTTATTTTTGTATGTTTGTAACGAACGAACTCAAAAACTACTGGACAGATTTAGATGAAATTTGGTAAGAAGATAGTTTGAGACTCTGGGAAGGACATAGGATATTTTTTATTCCATAAATCATCCCTTAAGGGGGTGAAAGTTTGTATGGGTAATTAACCTCGGGACAAACCGGAGCGAAGCAAAGGTGAGTCGCTAGTTTTAAATAAAACTATCATTTTCGGATTTTTTCGCGATTTTATTTAGATTTTTGGTTCCCGACGTTACGAATGCCTTACACTTTACAGCAATCGTGGACACGGGAACGGGGAGAGACTAAGGTTTTAGATGTCTCAAAGGTTTTAACAAATCCGGGTAAATTTTTAAGAAATTAATTAAATTTCTAAGAAATCTATTGTTAACTGTAACGCCGGCGTGTCCGCGGTCGTGGAGATTAAACTATTAACAAAATATAGTTATTACAGACAGCACCTACCCACAAAATTACACATTGATTTTCAAAAATACGTAAGTACCTTACAATATTTGTTAATTTTAATTTTAAGCAATTTTTATAATTCCAATAAGTTTTACAGTTGAATATTTAATATTATTTATTTCATTTTAATTGCTGTGATTATAATTATACATTTTTTACGAAACATCGGGAACCAAACATCAAAATAATAAATCCGCGAATAAATCGGAAAAAATTTATTTAAAATGGGGGTCACGTTAAGTGGTTTTATTTAATTCAACTTACCAATAGTAGTAAGCACTGTAGTAGCATAGTAGAAAGCGCCAGTGAACTTCCACTGCTGGCCAGCTTTGTGCGGCTCCGACTTGAGCACCACAGTCTCCATCACGCGGAAATCTTCTTCAGATATATTGTATTTGCTTATTATCATTCCTTCGATCGCTGGAATTGTTATAAAAATAAAAAGACGAGCCTAGTCATGCGCTTAGCGACCAAGACCAATGGTCGCCGTGACCAAGAACAATGGTCGCAGCGACCAAATCCAATGGTCGCCGTACCATGTACTTACATTAATTATGTGAAATTTTTAACCGTACATTATTTAACTATAATAGCCACAAACCTATCTGAGACTTAAGATTGAAGATAGAACAATCTTAAGACTTATTTACTTAAGAATCCTTACAGTAGCATTCTAGTTTAAAAAGTTACTTTATGATATGATTAAAAAATGTGCTAAATCAAAGGAAGCAAGGGTACCTCTGAGAGGGATATACAACTTTCTATAAAAGTATTTACTTTTTTTGTATGCTTTATTTCAAATGTTTACTTGTTTTTGGTTGGGGACATATAGTATAAAACGTAACAAACTTAACTTAATTTGTGGTTCAAATGCTTGTACTATATGTTGATAAGAAAGATTAAAAGTGAGTTACTACATTAAGTTTGAATAGAAAAGCCTTAAAAATTTCTTATTGTTATTCATTTCATATTTATAAAGTGTTAGTATTGCTATTTATAGAGCTGAGGGCCTCTATTTGAGTTGTATTTTTATCCGTAAGAAGGTAATCTGTGATATAAGCAATTGTCATCATACAATATAAGTTGTGAAAGTATGCAAAGGTACTTGATAAGGTTATAGCATTTATAATCACATAATCCCATAAATATTATTATAAATGTGAAAGTTTGGATGGATGTTTATTACTCAATCACACCAGAATTACTGAATGGATCTGGATGAAATTAGGCACAGATATAGATTATAGTTTGGAATAGCACACAGATTACTTTTTAAACCACAAAAATGTATGGCTCCCGTGTGTTTTTCACTAGAGACAAACAAAGCGAAGCAAGGGTGAGTTACTGGTTTCTATATACTTTTAACAGAGACAATGATGGTATACATTATGAAGGGTGAAGTATTTTTAGTGTGAAAGAAATTTGTACTTTAAGACCTGTAATTTTAGTAATTACTTCATTCTTATTGCAAAAACATTAACATGATATTAATTAACACTGACAAATGAAACCATGAATGAAAGTTATGGTCTTTTAAATATTAGTAAATACTAAAATTATATTTATTAATGTATTGTCACAATTTATTGTTATATTTAAATGTAATAATGAATTACACAAATGCATTTCTCAAGCAAAAATAAACATAGAATGCAAACATAATGCAAAAATGACATGAAAACATTATTTTAATATTCTTGTATATAAATATGACAATAATTGACAAATTTAATGTTACTCTAAGAAAATTCAAGTTATTTACCTTGTAAAACTTCAAATCTGTTTCTTTCAGTGGTAGACTCAAGTGCATCAAAAACAGCGGCACCAACCAATAAATAAGTAAATGTGCACACAATTAACGATAGAGTGCGAACATTTTGCTTCTTCATTACTGACTATATCCAGCCTTAGGGCTTAAGGCCCACATTCACCCTTCTATAGTCTCAAGCTAATCCCATAGTAAATCTCACAAAACTTCCATACTAAGTAACCATAATATCTCCATTTTTTATCTCATATCAGTTAAACTACCATTATTTCTTTAAAATGTGTATTATGTTACAGGTAAAAAAGTTTACTTATTTTTAATTTTAACATATTATGCAGGATTCTACTCTACGATAGTCAATGAATTGATATTGTTAAAAGAAATTCTTCTATTGATAAATTGATCCCTCAAAGGAAGTTGTTCCATTCACACTTTTATCATTTACTTATATTTACATCTCTTATATATCATTTATTTATTTAGGATTTTCCTTATCTGTAATAAAATCACAATTGCTTTCTGTAAACAAAATACATATTCCATAAAATTAATGCAGTAAAAGAATAGATTGGATTTAACAAACAAAATTAGCAATTAAAATTATCTAAATATTAAACACTGTTGACAATATTAACATAGCTTATAATTATTATGCCTTAAAGCATTTAAAATATTTCAAATGATTATTATTTCATGAAATTTTACAATAGTCTATTAGCACATCAGAAAAATGTAAATGAAAAAATACAAATAATTAACCTGTATGAGGAAATGTCAACGCAAGAAAAAAAAAAAGATACTAAGTAAAACAAAGGACTCACCATATTCCAACTAGAAAAATTAAGGTAACTCGTTCATAGAACTTGGGATTATAATTCTGCATCGCGAAAGACATTTATAAATATTTAATTAGCTGCAAAGCTACATCCTAAAAATAACATAGCGCTGTCCGCATTCGTTTCCAATAGGTCAACCCACAAGGCTCCGTAAGTGGGTCAAATATTATGACGATTATATCACATAAAAACACTCCGACATAGCACTGATTAGAAACTTCCTGTAGCTATCCAAACAACTATTTATCACTCGCAAATGATAAACGAAGATTAAATGAATTATATTTAAATTCAAGTCCCTATGCGGTATTTGTTCCTGTCACACCTGCTTCTCTTGTCCTGCTCAAATTAGATACACTCGCCCCGCACACACACTTATTCATCTCGGTATCATCTTGGCGAAACGTTAAACGTTTTATTTAATTGCATTTCATTGAATAAAAATAACAGAAAACAATAATTTTTGCTAGCAGATCCTGCACTTCCTAGATTGAGCTGTTGGGTGACCAGTGCTAAAATTGTTGGTTCCTGGAATGAGGAACTGCATTCTTGAGGGTTGCAAGCATATAAAATAATAATTATTGTTAAAATATAACTCAATATAGATAAGTCAGACAGAAATGAACTAATGATGTCAATAACATCTAAAATTTTAGATACATAATTTTTTAAATTATCTTTTTATAATTTAAAAAATTAATGAACTTCTTAACATAAAGATGTCGTTGTGATCTTTTATGTAGGTAACTTACTCTTGCGAAATTCCAATGATATTTCAAACGTAATTTCAAATATATTAAATAGATGGCGCTTGACTTCAGACAACAATATTATCACAGTTTAATAATATTATACTTTATATCTGTTCATAAATCACTTAAAAATTAAAGCATATGCATAAGTATATACTTAATGTTTTTTTGTTCGTTTTATTAAATTATTAAAAAATAACCGTTGAATTGTTGGAAAACATTGGAATGACTGCGTTTTCCACTTACCAGTTACAACTATTGAGTAATCTTGACTTAGGTATATGTTTAGATATTTTCAAATATTTTATATTATAATAGATTAGATAGGTACAAAACGAAGAATTATTTATTTTAACTGATACCTATCAACGCCTATAGTCTAGACTTTAAGAGTCTCGAAGGGATTGCCCTTGGACATAAAAGGGGCTCAACTAAGGATTTTTTAATGTAACACCTCTTAAGGCAGTGTAAAGGGGTAGTATAATAATACTTTATTTCTCAAAAAATGTTTACACTTGTGAATTAACATTTAGTAAAAGTATGGAAAACAATGTTTTGTAGATAAATAATTTCGTTGTACGAAATTAGATTGTAAATTAGTATGAGTTCGAGTCTGTCTCGCGCATCAAGGGCTATCATTAAGCGTTTTTGTGTTAGATATATTTATTTTGCTTATTTGATAACAATTTACGAATGAAAATGTTAGCAACAAAAATAAGTTTATATTGCTTACTGTTTAATATTAAGTATTTGAAAAATAATTCTTTAGTTCTTCACTCATCTAAATCAGAGATCTATTTTAGAGGATTTAATACATTTTAAAATCCTATTCAAAGATCTGTTACAATAGCATAGAATAGACGGACGGACACACGGACATGAAATTACATAAGTTTATAAAAATTCCGTTTTTGTCTTTAGTTTATGGATCTCTAAAATATAGAAGATCGGAGAAGATCAGGTAAGGGCGAAGAGTCAGATATATTTTTAAAAGGCGGTTTTTAATTTTCTATATCCGGAGGGTACAGTCGGAAGTCGGAACACTATTACCAAGACTACGCTATCCGTCCATCCATCTGTCTGATTGTTTGCATGTCCGCAAAGTATTACTATTGTTGTATTCATTACATAAGATTATTTTTCCTGTTTCTGATTTGTAAGAAAAAAGTAAATAAAAATATACCTACTTTGTGCTGCGCATTAAATTCGGTTATAATTAATTTAGATGTTAAGGTATCAAAAAGCAAAACACACAAATAACTTTGCATTAACAATAATGGTTATTTACTTAATAAAAAAATAAAATAAAAAAGTTAAATTATATTTTATTATGTTTAACAGCCCTATTGAGGACAAACGGCCCGTGAAGGGAAAGCTAGTAGGGCCCGCTTTCTCGCGACCAGAGACTAGTGATAGGTCATAGATATAACTAGGTTAAACGGATGGACTGGATATGCTTGTACTTCATACTTGCTATACGATACTGTATACTGAATGAGGATATTGAATATGAGGGGATCAGAGAGTAATAACTATAGTCTTGGTGCTGGTGACATGTTTTATGCAATGTGTACATTGTACGTACTCGTATTTAATACAATAGAAGTCGTTTTTAGATTTTTTTAGTCTGTCTGTTCATTTGAACTGAAGATGGATATCAACAGATTGGTTTTATTATTTTCCTAGTGGTAAAAGTAAATTAAAGACACAAATATGATTTATTTAATAGAATGCGTGTCTAAAAACGTAGCTTGAGCTTTTTGCTCTATACACTTTGAGAGTAATAATTAGTTGGAAATAAAATTTGAACGAAGAAATTAATATTTATGAGTTTGAAATTAATTAAGCCAATATTTCTATGGTGGCTGGCTGCAATACTTACCAATTGTCATTTAAATGATGTTTAGACGATAAAAACTTGTATGGGAATAAAATTAAATTAAGCACATCTCTTTGCTCATAGGAATTCTTTCTTCCAAGAATAAAAAAGCTTAGGCTAAGCTGTGATAAATAGACAGAGAGACAATGTTTTTAAGTTTTTGTTTAGCTTTGGCATCGTTCAAATTACAATAAGAGCATAAAATAGTTTTGTTTATTTATAAAAACAAATAATATAAAAACAAAAAAGTACTTATATTAATTTTGTCTATACTCTACAGATAAAATATCTCTCCACGGATCATTTATCATATTTGTACCATCATAATTTGATTTCCTTTAGAACATATTTTATTAAGCTATATTTTAAAGTAATTTATTTCACCGTAACTAAAAACACCACGAAATATAAAGCTGTTTCTATAATTAAAGGCTCAGTGTATGCCATTTGCTGTAATAAGATGCAAAATGGTTGACGCAAGTGGCAGAGCGCCTAGACCTTTCTCTCAAGTTCTGGGTCATACTGTTTTATGTAATAAATGTTTAATTATGGATTTGGCAGTCTGTTAAAATATTGATGTTTATTTGAATAGTAACTGTTAATCTAATAAAATAAATTAATTTAATTCGAAATATGAGTAGTTACTGTGGTTGATTTCTTCCAAGTTAATTTGAAGCAATTCGATATTCGCATTTTTGTAGAATAAATGTTGTTTTTTTTTGCTTTATAGTATTATTGATCCTCGAACTCGAAATTGCTTGGGTTATACAGAAAAATTAAACTTACTTTATTTATTTATTTTTAAACACTTAGCTTCTAATTTTCCTTCTACAACTTAAATAAGTAATTATATAAATTTTTAATAAATTGTTTAAGTAAAGAAAGAATTATTTACTAGTATAAAATATTTAATGTTACGCTTCGACACTAATGTGTAAATACATAAGAGAGGGGAGCCCAGACCTTTCTCTCAAGTTCTGGGTCAAGCCGGCGTTTTATGTAAGAGCTTATTAAATTATTTGACTACTTTTTATTTTAAAATATTCAATACCAAACCGATCTAGCTTCGCCCAGGTGTAAGGAGCACACATTCATTTTTACACTGAATGGCGTAGCACACTGGCGTAGCTAGTAGGGGAATGGAATCGAGGATGAATCTACACCTCGCAAACAGACGGGTCACCCTCTATCGACACCTGTGACACCCGTCCGTCCCGTTATTTACCAAAAGACTTACTTAGTTCTTATGTATATGTTTTTTTTAATAAAATTCAGCTTACGTGATACAAAATTTGCGATACTCATAGGACGTCAATAGCATTTAAGAAACATTCACGCGCTTGCACAGTACAATTTGACTAAAGTTTCTTCAAAATCAGGTAAATGGTTTAGAAATGCATTCGTTATACACATAGATAGACACACACTCATTCTTATATATTGAGTTTTAGACATTATCTTAATAAATACACGTTTCATAATTATCGTATATTTGCATATATTACGACGACTTCGGGCATAAACGGTTATAATTTTTACCGTTATTATTTATTAATAATTAATGATAAAAGTTGTTTACCTAATAATGTAGAACAACATATTCTACTAGAGGTTCGTTACAGAGAAGAGATATTTTGACATTCTAAGCCATAAC